CCTCCTCAGCAACAGACAACCTGCCTTACCCTATTCTTGCTCGCTTTTTCTCACTACTTTTCTGGATCTCACCATACTCTGTGCATTCCCTGCACCTCTTAGCCCACTGGGGCCAGGCCTGGTTTACTATCCAGGCTTCCCAGCAAGCCTTGACCCTTGAAAACAAGTTCCAGCATAGCCCCTCCTGGCAGAGCCACTTGCTGACATAAAAGCCACAGCAGTGATTCAGGTTGCTAAATTCTTCCTTTTGGTCCTACATTCTGCTGTAGAAATACCTCCCTCACTATAGGAATTCTCAGCTGAGCTTCCCACATGTTCCTCAATCCACCTTGCAGGGGAAACAGACTGGACTCAATATCCCCTCCCTCAATTTCCAGATGGAAAACAGACAGAAGGATTTGCCTAGGACCGTGTATGCTGCCCAGATCCCAAAAGCCAGGTCTGGAAAAACTCTAGTTTTTCTGAGTCTGTCTGGATGGCCCCAGACACTTTTTCCTGAAAGAGTTCCAGTGTGACCAGACTGTGCCCAGAGCTGGAGCCCAAGCCTTAGGCCATGACTGCTGTCTGAGACCAGGCTCTGTTTCTCTCTGGGCCTGAAGAGAGGACAGAGCTGGTCCCTGCAGATTTCCAAGCCAAACACAGGCAGCCATTTATCAATGGGAAAGAACAGCTACAGAGAAGGGAGCACCACGTACCAGGCTGTGTGGCCAGTCCATCCCACCAAGCCAGGCAGCAGGCCTGCAGCTGCCACCCGCCGGGAACCCCAGATGCCGCAGAGAGAGAATGGCAGCAACAGGATGGACTGAGGCAATTATAGCTCCACAGGGGGCTGCTGGGGGGTGTGAGAGGGTGGGCTCACTGTCAGCTGGGAGCCTTGGGCCCCCAGCTGACTGGGCCTTAGCACAGTAGCAGGCGGTGAGGGGTGTGGGGTAGGCCAGGAGCCAGGCCCTGAGGTGCCCAGGGGCTGTTGACCGAAGGACAATGCCCTGTGTGTCTGGTGGGGCCCTGGCTGATGGCACCTCCGCCTGTGGCCTGCGGCCGGCTGACCAGCCAGCACCCACAGCGCCAGTTAAGACAATCAGCTTCGTTTGCTTTGGGGATGACCAGGGGGGAGGGGGAGGAGAGATGGGCTGCTGGTTGGTCAAAAGAGAAAATGTCCTGAGTCTGTTGGCCCAGAGCCAGACAGCGCTATCTCCCAGGGAAAGGGCTTCAGTTATGCCAACCAGCCTCAGGTGCGCTCCGATGCCCACCCTCTATTTCACAGGCTGGGAA